ATTTGAGACTTTAAAAATAAAAACTATTAATAATAGTTATGTTATGTTTAAGGGGTTATATACCTTTTTTTTTTTTGTTGAATCCTAAAGTATATCCCCTAGAGAACATCTTCCCAAATTTTCATACAGATCCGAATAATAGTTCGATAGGAAAACAGCGTTTTGCCGCGCTCGACTTCAATAGTTGCAACGTCAACGTAAAACTTTGAATGCGATTATCTCAAAGTCGTGTTTTTCCAAAAGTGCCTTTGCTGTGACCACGATTGCGCAAGAACTATTTGATCGATCTTCTTCAATTTTTTTTTAAATTAAAGGCTTGTTGTTTCGATAAAAACATGTACTATCAATAAATAATAACTTCACTGTCATAAAATAATTGCTACACACCAAAAAAAAATCCAAAGTTCCCTCAATTTTGTCGCTCAAAAAAGGTATATAACCCCTTAAAAGAATGGCAGCCCTTTTCATTCCGACAAGATCACCCTGTGGATTAATCGTGACGTGTCGTGGTGAATGTTCACTACCTTATTGATATCCCATCTCTACTTTTTTCTGTACTCTTAATCTCGTGCATAATGCGAACCAATTAAATATGTATTAAAGCTAATAATAAAGGACATATCATTTGGTGTCAGAAGTGAGTCAACATGGCAGACGGAAACCTGGATCTGAACAGCCTAATTGCTTCCATAAGTGCTGCAATAACCCAAGCAGCCACAAATGCTGGCCAGGCAAGCAGCTCTTCAATGACGCCGCCGTTTTCAATGGAAAACTACAAGGCGGGCGAGGACGCATCGGTACGAAAATACTTCACACGATTCGAATGGGCATTACAACTGAGCAAAATCCCAATTGCTGAATATGAAAACTACATCCGAGTCCATATGGGTCCAGAGCTTAATTCCGCGTTGCGAATTTTGATAAGTCCACGAAATCCGGAAGATCTTCAGTTTACCGAAATTAAAGAGGTGCTAATTAACCACTTCGATGGAAAGCGAAACACGTTCGCTGAGAGCTTTAAATTCAGGCAGATTCGTCAGGAAGCAGGAGAATCAATTGCGACATATGCGCTGCGTCTGCGACAAGCAGCAACATATTGTGATTTCGGATCTTTTCTAGATAGAATGCTAACGGAGCAAATGCTCTTTGGAATGGAGTCTCGCAGTATATGTGACGAGATTATTTCTAAACAACCGAGAACTTTTACAGATGCTTACGAAATTGCTTATTCCAGAGAACTTACGCATCGATCCACGGGGATAGTAAATGCATCAGAATCGGTATTCCACGAGACAACAATCAAGCCAGAACCTACGTACAAATTGGGGTATTCACCAGTAAGAAAGAAACAAAGGAAATACATCGGGATACACGCAGATGAATTCTTGCTACGGCTGTGGGGGCCAACATCTTCGAAAGAATTGCAAATTCAAAAATGAGAAATGTTTTTCATGTGGCAAACTGGGACACATAAGAAAGATGTGCAAATCTACTACAAACCAAATCACTGACTCTGAAGCAGAGGAAAATGAGCAGGTGCAAGTATTGCGCCAATGTAATAAACTGAGCACGTCAGGGAAACACAGTAAAAAAATGATTCAAATGCAGATCAATGGTAAGGAAATAGTAATGGAACTAGATACAGGGGCTCCATGTAGCATCATAAATCATGTCGAATTTCGGAAGAATTTACCTACAACACCCCTAACAAATACGAACCGAAGATTTGCGAGCTACACAGGTCACATCGTCAACTGTATAGGTCGTGCAGTGGTCAGATTGAAATATAAGAACACCACCCAGAAACTAAATCTGTATGTAGTGGAGGGAAACTTTGACACATTATGTGGACGAGAATGGATTTCACAATTCGTGCGAGAAATAAACTTTTCAAGCCTATTTGCGCCCGATCAGACACCGCAGTCGTCCGTTCAGGGAACCTCAAATGCGAGTAGAGCGTTGGTCAACGCAATAGAAATACGAGCGACAGACTTGAGCACAGCTGAGATGTTGCGCCTTCAACAATTACTTCAACAATTCACAGATGTTTTCAGTGCAACAGCGGGCATGTTTAAGGGACCACCTGCAAAACTTCACCTCAAAGCGGATGCCAAGCCGATATTCGCACGACCAAGAGAGGTACCCTTTGCACTGAAGGATGCTTACGCCAAGGAGATCGAATCGAAAATTGCGGCAGGATTTTACAAACGTGTCGAATTTTCAGAGTGGGCATCAACTACACATGTAGTAACAAAGAAGAATGGAGGCATTCGCATTACAGGCAATTACAAACCTACAGTAAACCCGCAAATGATTATCGACGAACATCCCATCCCGAGAGCAGAAGATATCTTTAACAAAATGAGAGGAGCCACAGTATTCGCTCACTTAGATGTAACGGATGCCTATTCACACTTGCCTATCGACGAGGAATTTGGTCACGTGTTGACATCAAACACTCCTACGTATGGTCTAATTCGCCCAACACGTGCAGTCTATGGCGCTGCAAATATACCTGCAATTTGGCAGCGCACAATGGAATCTGTGCTTCAAGGCATTCCGAACATTTTAAATTTTTTCGATGATATCTTGATCTACGCTAATAATGTGGAGGAGCTTTTAAAAACCTTAGACAAAACATTACGTATCAGGGCATTCAAAAATCGAACAAACACGTTGAAGCCGTCCTTTATGCACCAATGCCGAAATCAATTGAGGACGTACAACTATTTCTGGGAAAAGCAGCGTACTACACCAACTTCATTCCAAACCTGGCCAGTTTAGAAAGACCGCTTAGGAATCTCCTTAAGGAAGGCAAGTTTTATTGGACTGCAAATCACAATTCGGCGTACAATAGCATTAAGGACTTGCTAGTATCACCACAAGTCTTAATGCCATATGACCCCTCGCTCCCACTGCTACTAGCAACAGACGCCAGCCCAACTGGTCTGGGTGCTGTTTTGTCACACCGCCTGATGGATGGAAAAGAGAGACCAATAGCCTATGCAAGTCGAACGATGACTGGAACAGAACAGCGATATCGCCAGATTGATAAAGAGGCGCTCGCTATCGTATGAACGGTGAACAGATTCTTTAAGTATCTGTACGCAAGGCATTGGACCCTTATAAAGCTCCAGAACATCACTACCAAGTTTCATCTGGCTGCCTAATTTACGAGCACAGAGTGGTAATTCCGACCAAACTGAGGAAGTTGGTACTAGAAGAACTTCATGGTGCTCACTTGGGTATCGTCAAAATGAAGAGCATTGCTCGTTCGTTTACATATTGGCCAGGGATTGATAAGGACATTGAAAACATAGCCAAATTATGTGAGGATTGCACAAAAAATGTTAATTTTCCGCCGAAATATTCTCAGCATCACTGGGAATATCCGAAAGCACCCTGGGAACGCGTGCATATCGACTATGCTGGACCATTTCAGGGCAAGATGTTACTGATAATCACGGATGCTTTCTCCAAATGGCTAGACGTGGCAGTTACAAAATCAATCACAGCGTCAGCTACCAGCGCTTTACTGGATAACCTTTTTGCGAAGTTTGGAGTACCCCAGATGATTGTTTCCAATAACGGAACCAATTTTAAATCCGAGGAGTTCAACGATTTTTTGACCAAAATCGGAGTAAAATACCATAAGTACACAGCCCCATATCACCCCGCAACGAACGGACAAGCTGAGCGCAATGTACAAACCGTCAAAGGTGCCCTTAAAGCAATGGGTACTTCTTCTAGTTCCTTACAGGCAGATCTCAACGAATTCCTCCGTCAGTACAACAACGCTCAACACTCCACAACAGGCGAGTCACCAGCGAAACTATTTATGGGCAGACAACTACGCACGCGCCTAGATCTAATTCGCCCTGACGGACCCCAGAGCAAAGTAACATCCAAGCAATCAACACAATGCAAGCAGACATTCCGACGATTTGTTCCAGGTCATAGAGTCTACTTTGCGACCTACACTCCACGAATGGATAAGTGGGTGCCAGGAAAAATTGTCAAGAACTCAGGTGACCTCCATTATGAAATCGCCCACAGCAACAAAATCTATAAGCGACATATTGACCAAATAAGGAGCGCACTGGAAGGCGACATTCAGGAACACCAAGAAGAAGTAAATATTTCGAGTCCCGCCTCCAACACCTACGGGGAGGATGAGGAAGTAAACAACGAAATCCTCCCAATTAGCGTCGAAGCGAGCCAAAGCATCAGTACTCCACACAAGAACCACCTTGGCGAAGATCCAGACGATGACCATTTTAGCACTCCACTATCGACTCCTGAGGATGAGGAACAAAGGAAGGAGTCCGGGAGACAGGATACTCCTCAGTTGGCGCCATCACCACAACAGATCCTTCGGCGATCCACCAGAGTTCGTAAGCCGAGAGTAATATTTTCCTCATCACCCTGAGAGGGGAAGAAATGTTATGTTTAAAAGAATGGCAGCCCTTTTCATTCCGTCAAGATCACCCTGTGGATTAATCGTGACGTGTCGTGGTGAATGTTCACTACCTTATTGATATCCCATCTCTACTTTTTTCTGTACTCTTAAGCTCGTGCATAATGGGAACCAATTAAATATGTATTAAAGCTAATAATAAAGGACATATCCAGTTATAACAGATTTTTATTTTTAAAAGTCGCAAAATTAAAGTTTATTCATAAACTGACTATATTAAGAGTATACAAATGTATCTGTATACTTGGAAATTTCTCGTTACGTTTTCATTATGCTTTATTTCATCAATACTTATAAAAAAATAACTGTTATTTCCGGTCCCTGGTTGTATCTTCGGTTCTAACGGTCCGATCACTAAAATTTTTGTTGTAAGTATTCCTAAAACTATATACTGCAAGATAAAGTAATAAGAGATTTCGCAGTTTTCGTGGGTTTAAGTGTATATAACCCGTAACATAAAAAGATTATATCTTATAAAAACGGTTTAAACAAACAAACTTTATGTCTTAAATTTCAATTTTAGGAATAGAATACCAAAGTGAAGATTTAATATCGGTCCGAGTACGGGCCCTTCATCCGGGAAGGGTTACAGTCACAGCATCGGTCAGTTTGGCGGATGGAATAATGCTACCACCAGCCACTGTTGAGCTAATTGGTATGTGTGTGCCTACCTAAATACTCATGTTATTTGTAATAAAACAATTTATCGCAGTTTTTAAAACACTGGAGTTACTGGCACCAAATCCCATCAAAAGGGATTCCATTTTGGCAGCGCCGCGAAGCATATTTCAGCTTAAATCGAATATGGACGATGTGATCTATAAGCTAGACAATCAAAGCAGTGGAATCGTCAACGTAACCCCAGATGGCCTTGTGCACACAAAGGACACTCTTGGCCGTGATCTTATAATTGTATGAATCTACCATTATTTTATTATTCTGTTATTTAAATGAACCGCATGAATTTCATCTAGGCAAAAACATCGGATCAAACGCTGCCTATCGGAATCGAAGTAAAGAATGTTCAATACATTTTGGTGACGCTGATGCCAAACCTTAAATTTAAAAAGGTCGCACACAAAGTTCCTCGAGGCATGAACTTTAAGTTTAAAGTATCGTTGCACGACAATCTCGGTAATGAATTCTCCCACAACATTGAGGATCCAAATGGACTGCGGTATGAACTGGCCACCAAAGATGTGGTCGAAGCTCAGATAGATAATAATCTGACAATAACGGTGAGTGCCACTGTTCCAGTTTCCAGACAGACAGACAGACAGACAGACAGACAGACAGACAGACAGACAGACAGACAGACAGACAGACAGACAGACAGACAGACAGACAGACAGACAGACAGACAGACAGACAGACAGACAGACAGACAGACAGACAGACAGACAGACAGACAGACAGACAGACAGACAGACAGACAGACAGACAGACAGACAGACAGACAGACAGACAGACAGACAGACAGACAGACAGACAGACAGACAGACAGACAGACAGACAGACAGACAGACAGACAGACAGACAGACAGACAGACAGACAGACAGACAGACAGACAGACAGACAGACAGACAGACAGACAGACAGACAGACAGACAGACAGACAGACAGACAGACAGACAGACAGACAGACAGACAGACAGACAGACAGACAGACAGACAGACAGACAGACAGACAGACAGACAGACAGACAGACAGACAGACAGACAGACAGACAGACAGACAGACAGACAGACAGACAGACAGACAGACAGACAGACAGACAGACAGACAGACAGACAGACAGACAGACAGACAGACAGACAGACAGACAGACAGACAGACAGACAGACAGACAGACAGACAGACAGACAGACAGACAGACAGACAGACAGACAGACAGACAGACAGACAGACAGACAGACAGACAGACAGACAGACAGACAGACAGACAGACAGACAGACAGACAGACAGACAGACAGACAGACAGACAGACAGACAGACAGACAGACAGACAGACAGACAGACAGACAGACAGACAGACAGACAGACAGACAGACAGACAGACAGACAGACAGACAGACAGACAGACAGACAGACAGACAGACAGACAGACAGACAGACAGACAGACAGACAGACAGACAGACAGACAGACAGACAGACAGACAGACAGACAGACAGACAGACAGACAGACAGACAGACAGACAGACAGACAGACAGACAGACAGACAGACAGACAGACAGACAGACAGACAGACAGACAGACAGACAGACAGACAGACAGACAGACAGACAGACAGACAGACAGACAGACAGACAGACAGACAGACAGACAGACAGACAGACAGACAGACAGACAGACAGACAGACAGACAGACAGACAGACAGACAGACAGACAGACAGACAGACAGACAGACAGACAGACAGACAGACAGACAGACAGACAGACAGACAGACAGACAGACAGACAGACAGACAGACAGACAGACAGACAGACAGACAGACAGACAGACAGACAGACAGACAGACAGACAGACAGACAGACAGACAGACAGACAGACAGACAGACAGACAGACAGACAGACAGACAGACAGACAGACAGACAGACAGACAGACAGACAGACAGACAGACAGACAGACAGACAGACAGACAGACAGACAGACAGACAGACAGACAGACAGACAGACAGACAGACAGACAGACAGACAGACAGACAGACAGACAGACAGACAGACAGACAGACAGACAGACAGACAGACAGACAGACAGACAGACAGACAGACAGACAGACAGACAGACAGACAGACAGACAGACAGACAGACAGACAGACAGACAGACAGACAGACAGACAGACAGACAGACAGACAGACAGACAGACAGACAGACAGACAGACAGACAGACAGACAGACAGACAGACAGACAGACAGACAGACAGACAGACAGACAGACAGACAGACAGACAGACAGACAGACAGACAGACAGACAGACAGACAGACAGACAGACAGACAGACAGACAGACAGACAGACAGACAGACAGACAGACAGACAGACAGACAGACAGACAGACAGACAGACAGACAGACAGACAGACAGACAGACAGACAGACAGACAGACAGACAGACAGACAGACAGACAGACAGACAGACAGACAGACAGACAGACAGACAGACAGACAGACAGACAGACAGACAGACAGACAGACAGACAGACAGACAGACAGACAGACAGACAGACAGACAGACAGACAGACAGACAGACAGACAGACAGACAGACAGACAGACAGACAGACAGACAGACAGACAGACAGACAGACAGACAGACAGACAGACAGACAGACAGACAGACAGACAGACAGACAGACAGACAGACAGACAGACAGACAGACAGACAGACAGACAGACAGACAGACAGACAGACAGACAGACAGACAGACAGACAGACAGACAGACAGACAGACAGACAGACAGACAGACAGACAGACAGACAGACAGACAGACAGACAGACAGACAGACAGACAGACAGACAGACAGACAGACAGACAGACAGACAGACAGACAGACAGACAGACAGACAGACAGACAGACAGACAGACAGACAGACAGACAGACAGACAGACAGACAGACAGACAGACAGACAGACAGACATGGCTAAAACATAAACATAAACATAAAACATACTTCCATACGCACACTTCCATACAGCTGAACCTGCTACGGGAGACCAACAATGTCCTCGCCATTAGTCTAAGGGATCCTTCGGGAGTCAAGCACGCCGAGGACTACATCAAGCTGTCAGTCGTCGAGTCAAAGGACATCTTTCCCACCAAGGTGAGTTGGGGGGAAGATACACATAAAACTTTTTCATGTTTTTAGTGATTTTTTTAATATAATTTTTAACCATTTAGTATTTTTGTATCTTTCAATTCAATGGCGGCAGTACGAATTTTTTTCGGTCATGCTACATTAAAAAAGTAGGCCAGCTGCGGACCCTTCACCAGTTAGCTGTGTAGATCCGATTTTTATGAAACCAAGATTATTTCGTTAAGAAATAACGTAGAAACTGTCTAAACCTTGCTTGATTAACATGATTCTCACAGTTTTCTTATTTGTGGAAATCTTTAAAGCCCCAGGAGTTGAACCCCAACCGTTGATTTTATAAGATTGTTTTTGTAAGATTTCAAGGTTGCAGCGACCTATTCGGCAGCACATTTGTTCGGTTCCTTTTAGGAGAAAGTGTTGGAACTCCTGTATCTTTTAGCAGGCGACGGTGTATGGAAAATGTAAATTCCTTTGGAAAATCACATAGAAACCTCATTTACTCCTCACTTTTTGTGTCACCGCCGTGTATTTTGGAAACAGAGACGGAAGAAATGTAAGGGGTGAATGAGGTAATTATATAGAGTAAAAGGGTATATTGTATTCGTGCAATAGTATGTAACAGCTAAAAGGAAGCGTTTCCGACCCCATAAAATATATATATTCTTGATCAGCATCTCTAGCCGAGTCGATATAGCCATGTTCGTCTGTCCGTTCGTCTGTCCGTCTGGCCGTCTGTCCGTCTGTTTCTACGCAAACTAGTCTCTCAGTTTTTAAGCTATCAGCTTTAAACTTTCCCAAAAGTCTTTTTTCTATTGCAGGTAGTATATAAGTCGGAACCGACCGGATCGGACAACTATATCTTATAGCTCCCATAGGAAGGAAACGTTAAAAAATTCTAGCTTCGGTGTTTTTTGAAATAAGACCTTCTACTCTTGGAAATAGTATTTTTTAAATACTTTCTTACTTTCTAATACAATATATTAAAAATCGGACGACTATATCATATAGCTGCCATAGGAACGATCGGAAAATGAATGGGAAAATAATAGGAAATAAATTTTAGATTTTTTTTTTTATACCCTTGTAGAGGGTATTATAATTTCAGTCAGATGTTTGCAACGCAGTGAAGGAGACGTTTCCGACCACATAAAGTATATATATTCTTGATCAGCACCGATAGCCGAGTCTATCTAGCCGTTTCCGTCTGTCCGTTTCTATGCGAACTAGTCTCTCAGTTTTAAAGCTATCGCGATGAAACTTTCCCGAAAGTCTTCTTTCTATTGCAGTTAGTACATATGTCGGAGAGAGCCGGATCGGATATCTTAAGGCTCCCATAGGAATAATCAAACAAATATAAGAAAACTCATTGTAACTTTGTAGGAAGTAGGCGTTTTGATTCTTGACTACTTTAAAACAAAATTTAAATAAATAAAAACGCTAAATCTGGAATCACTGGAACTGCACCGAGTGAGCATTACCTTATCTGCAAGGGTATATAAGCTTCGGCTGGCCGAAGGTAGCTTCTTTTCTTGTTTTTGTATTCTTTCCTACTCTAAGACATGACTCTTTTTAAATATTTCCGAATTTCAATTTTAATTTGATCAAAATCGGACGACTATATCATATAGCTGCCATAGGAACGATCGGAAAATTAATGAGAAATATTAGAAAATGATCTGCAAGGGTATATGAGCTTCGGCTGGCCGAAGCTAGCTTCCTTTCTTGTTTTTGTTATTTTTGGGACCCGTCTTCAGTTGTTAATTATCACTATGGACGGCAGTCCATGTAGTGACGAAGCGCACCAGGAGAGTGTGCGAAGGCGACTACTATATATACACGAAGAAATGAAAATTTGCTGTGATAGTCCGATCGTAATGAGTAATACACCAATCGAAAGGTATTGCAAAAACTTAAAGGATTGCATACCAAGACCTCAAGAAAATCAATTGGTTTGGGAGAGAGGGAGGTGAAAGTGAAAAAGTGAAAATTTCGAATTTTAGAGCTGTTGGGGCCGGTGGAAATAAAAGCCCCCTCGCAATGTTTTAGTTGTATTCCTATTGAAAATACCCGTCGAATGAGGGGTCATATGATAAAATCCGACGCTCCGTTCAAAATTTATAGCCAAAATAAAATTTTCTTCTTCTTCCCAAAATGAAAATTTAATTCTGTTTGTCAGTTTCCACTTGTCCAAAATATGTTTTTTAAGTTCTGAAAATTTGATATGACGTTCATCACATCGATATAAAAAAATTTTGTTCTACCACTTTTGGAAAAACCCGCTAGTTTAGCGGGAAAACAGCTATAAATAGCTAAAATTCGGAAAGCCGTAACTTCTATACTACTAAAGCTACAGACATGTGCTGCATCTCGTTTGAAATGTATTTTTAAAAGCTATAAACGCCTACTACATGCAATTTGTGTAAATGTAATAGTTAAAAAGATATGAACAAAAGAAAATTTGTTTAAACTTTTTTTTTAGCTTTTTTTAATTTTCTCAAAAACGGCTCTAACGATTTTCCTTACAACTTTAAACCGTATAGCCCTTGAGATTCCTTAAATTTTGGTGTATATCATGTTTATGTAAAAAATCGCGTTTAAAAGTTATTCAGAAACGAAAATAGCCACTTTTGCCAGCTCAGAACAACTAACGCTTCCTGAGTGTTTAATTTTGTGCGTGGGTATCCAAACTGTATTTTAGGCTCATAGAATCATTTCAATTGTTTTAAGGAGTTCCAAATAGGAAACTTTTGTTTTACGACTTTTGGAAAAACCCGCTGCTTTAGCGGAAAAAAAGCTAGAAATAGCTAAATTTCGTTAGTTTGTAAGTTCAACACTACTGAAGCTACAGACATGTGCTATACCTCGTTTAAAAGGTATTTTGAAATACTTAAACGCCTTTTTAACTTAATTTGTTTAAATACAATGGTTTACAAATTATGATTGACCAATTTAAATTTAAATGTATATATTAGCTCCTATGAGAGCAAATGTAAACAAACAAAAACTTCTGATATCAAATAAAAACACCTCTTAACGAGGTAAAAAACTAGTGACGATCGCACCTTCAACATACAAAAGTTCTGATATCAACATTTGTGACGAAAAATTATTACACTCGTCATTAAATACACTTTCTAATATTTTCTCATTCGGCCCGGCCTAGCATACTATTTTAGCCTTTTTACCTTCATAGGCATTTTCTATTGCAGCGTGCCGAATGAGAAAATCTTAGAAAGTGTATTTAATGACGAGTGTAATAATTTTTCGTCACAAATGTTGATATCAGAACTTTTGTATGTTGAAGGTGCGATCGTCACTAGTTTTTTACCTCGTTAAGAGGTGTTTTTATTTGATATCTGTTACTCGTAGAGTAAGAGTTTATTATTATTATATTCAACCGAGCGCCACGTCCACTCTAACGCCCACAACCGCCCACTAACGATTTTAAAATGTGTCCTGCGCCCACATCTTTAAAGATTTCCGAGAAGTATAAATGCAATTTTGTTGTGTATACTTATACCTATCGAAGTGTAGAAGATATTTTTCAATTCGGACCATTCATTAAAAAGTTATGCGCAATCAAAAAAATGATAAATATCCATCTCCCTCGCACTCGCTTTATTTGAGTGACGGGTATTAGATAGTTTTTTAAATATTTCTGGGTCTTTGACACCAAAAAATCGACTAACTTTGCGATTTTTTTTATAAAAACTGGTTGGAAGGATTTAATTCAAACCTTTTGTATATTATTAAGTGTCATTTAAATAACATACACTAATTTTTATTGCCGATACTATCTGCTAATATATAGGTGGCAAAGTGATTGCTGGAACACTATTAAAAAACGACGTTTCACTGTACCTCCGCTAAAACTGATCGGATTTCCATTTTGTTTTTACATTTCGCTTAAGAATTAAAAAAACTCGCCTCCTGGGAAGCCCTTTTTTATTTTTTATTTTTGAGATTTTTTTTCGATATTCCAAAGTCAAAAATGCCATTTTCACCTAAACAAATTTAAAGTTAAAAAAAAATTGGCGACAAATTTGAAAACGATCGGTTAAGCTGTTTAGAAATGCCGATGAACACGGACTTTCAAAACGTGGTTTCGAGAAAAACGCACTTAAAGATGCACTTACGTACCTAAAGTTTTAGAGGCTAGGGTACTAATTTTAGCATAACTTTTAAAGTTTTCGTCCGATTGACTTTATACTTTTTTTGTATAATCTTAAGAAGTTAATCTACAAGAAAAAAAATACCGTAACCCTCCCCCTTAACATTTCAAAATTTCGAATTAAATTAAACAAAATTCGGACGTCTATATACCACCCATAGAAAGGATCAAAAAAAAAACAAAGAAAGGAAGCTAGCTTCGGCCAGCCGAAGCTTATTTACCCTTGCAGATAATTCTTATTAAGTTACAAATCGCAAAAATGTTAATTTTCCTATTATTTCTCATTAATTTTGCGTTCGTTTCAATTGCAGCTATATGGGCACTTCCAGAAAAAAGTCCACCAAGCCAAAAACCTTGAAACTTGAATAAAACACATTTCCACATGATTTTGCCCCGATATTAGTTTCTAATTAGATGGATAGTGACCTTAACTACAAATTTGGAGTATAGTTTGATTATTTTTATGACAAACCCCACCAATATACGCAAAAATCAGTTTTTGGCTATTTTTTTTTGTTATTTTTTGGACCTGTCTTCTGTTGTTAATTTATTTCTGTACTGAATGCTTCATTCACATGCTAAACTTTTATGTTAAAGTCAAAACATCCAGCAATTGAGAGATAGAGTTAAAGAAATCCGCTTTACAAAACAGTCGGAAAAAATGTCCCGAGCGACATGTACCGAGCGAATGTGGTTGAAACTGCATAAAAAAAAACGTCAAAGAATTTTTAAGTAAAACCAAAAGCATTTAACAGCGACATGTTTGAACAACATTCTAAAAAAAATCGCATTCAAATATTCCATCAGAATTCGCTAATTTCTGGTGTTGTAGAAGCAATAATTTATTTCCTATTATATTCCCATTAATTTTCCGATCGTTCCTATGGCAGCTATATGATATAGTCGTCCGATTTTGAAAAAATTTTATTCGGAATTCAAAATTAGATAAAAAATGACATTTCCAAAAGTAGGATGTTATAGGTTCAAAAGCACCCAAGATATAATTTTTTTACATTTTTTTTCCGCGATTGTTCCTATGAGAGCTATATGATATAGTTGTCCGATCCGGCTCGTTCCGACTTATATACTACCTGCAATAGAAAGAAGACTTTTGGGAAAGTTTTACCCCGATAGCTTGAAAACTGAGAGACTAGTTTGCGTAGAAACGGACGGACAGACGGACATGGCTAGATCGACTCGTGTAGTGATGCTGATCAAGAATATATATACTTTATGGGGTCGGAAACGTCTCCTTCACTGCGTTGCAAACTTCTGACTGAAATCATAATACCCTCTGCAAGGGTATAATAATGCCAAAAAATAGGAAAGCTGCTTAAATTAATAGGAATGATCTGCATGGGTATATAAGCTACGGCTGGCCGAAGCTAACTTCCTTTCTTGTTTTTGATTTCAAATTAAAATGTGTGCCTACGCAATAGCTTAAAGTATTTAACAACTTTAATAATACATTTTTTATTTCCCCTACGTTTTTTTACCAACGTTCATCCAAACGACAGACTATTTTCTCTGTTGCCGACATCATTTGCTTCGATTCACCGCTAACGTTGTCATCTATTTGGAGCAGCTCGAATGAGCGGATTGTTTCCATTAATAGGCACACAGGTGAGTATTTTACAGCTCAATCTGTCCACTTTTTAGCAAATTATTTTTATACTTAAGTATTTTTGTTTGTTGTTTCAATTGCGTTGCAAACGTTGAAAAGTATAAAAGTAAAAGTTTCAATAACAATTTCTATACAAAATAGTTGTAGGCCTACAACACCCCAGCCTATGTATACAAATCTGTTGCACCTTTATAGAAATAATGGTTTAAAATAGAGCTTTTAAATACTACAAAAATACTAAAAAGTTCGGTTTGTGAGAGGCGGTTTTATATTAAATTCAATTACACTTTCACTGTAAGCACGTCCGCTTTATTCTACTTTCGTACCAAGAATGATTAACATTAGCCTGATTACAGAGTATGTTATTCTTAATGTTAACTTAACATGTTATCGGTCGTAAGGTGACCATATACTCAGCCTACTACAGGTTTGAGTCTATAGTCACGTCAACCTAAAAGCCGATTGAGGCTTAAGAACTCGCGTATAGATTTCGTTGATCTACTTTTGGCGACCAATGTTTTTTTATTTGGTAAATGCTTATAAGGTGTGTTTCTAAACTATACGACACGAAGACATTTTTTATACCCGTTACTCGTAGAGTAAAAGGGTATATTGTATCCGTGCAAAAGAATGTAACAGCTAGAAGGAAGCGTTTCCGACCCTATAAAGTATGTATTTTCTTGATCAGGGTCACTAGCCGAGTCGATATAGCCTGTCTGTCTGTTTATCTGTATGTCCGGATGAACGCTGAGATCTCGGAAACTACAAAAGCTAGCAAGTTGAGATTTCCTACACATATTCTTGGGCTTCCTACGCAGCGCAAGTTTATTTCAGCTGAGCGCCACGCCCCTTTAACGCCCATAATCGCCCACCAACGATTTTAAAATGTGTCTGCCGCCCACACCGTTAATGATTTCCGAGAAGTATAAATGAATGGCGTTCTCTCTTGCTTTTTAATTTTATGATACAACTAGCAATACCCGAAGCGACTTTGTCCGCTACTATTAGCAAAGCATTTATTGATGATTTTTCCATATACGAGTCAAAATCTCTCAAGTGTGCCACCCCTGTTTCGAAGGTCCGATTTTCATCGAACTAGTTGACTTTTTCTGTTCACAACGACAAAATAAGAACTTCATTTGAACGGTTTTGCGACATTTTGAGTTCTACCGGAGTTATAGCGGTCACAACGGGGCATTTTTACCACTTTTTCGAAAAAGTTGCACTCAGTCATTATACCCTTGCAGAGGGTATTATGATTTCAGTCAGAAGTTTGCAAAGCAGTGAAGGAGACGTTTCCGACCCCAAAAAATATATAGGGGAGAGGTCTGTAGGTTGGTACACCTTTTGTTTTTAGTCTCCCATTTGGACATTCGCTTTTGAAACTTCACGTGTTAGGTACCGATCGAAAACTTAGTCTTTTAGCTGTAAAATAAAGCAAAACAAAATTTTTTTAAGAACTTAGACCAAATAACAATTAAAACTAACAGGCTATTTGAACATTCACTTTTCCCCTAATATCAAAGAAATGTACTAGGCAGAAAGCGACCTCTTTCGGGCTAAAGCCTTTTTATATGAAAAACGGGTGTCTCAACTTACACGCTTAATGTGTCTCAACTTACACAAAATGAAATGTTTCGGGAAAAAATTAATACCTTTTTTTTTCTGACTGTCACATTAAGCTGATTCTTTTTTTAATTTGTTAACAGTTAAATTACTAATGTTTTAATTCTCTTACCAAGTTTATTTAAGCACGTTATTAATTTTTAATAGATTTAAAAAAAAAAATGAACAAAAACTTTTTTGGTGCAAAATGGTACACGACTCTCACAGCTTAAATCTGGCTAGAGCCTGGCTTATAATGTTTTCCCCAAAAGTTTTGTCACTGAAAAGGACTACAAAAAAAAAATAAAAAAAAATTTGAGTGGAAAAGTTTTGAGAAAATTGAGAGTCTCAACTTACAGACTGTCTCAACCTACAGACCTCTCCCCTATTCTTGATCAGCATCACTAGACGAGTCGATCTAGCCATGTCCGTCTGTCCGTCCGTCCGTTTCTACGCAAACTAGTCTCTCAGTTTTGAAGCTATCGGCTTGAAACTTTCCTAAAAGTCTTCTTTCTATTGCAGGTAGTATATATGTCGGAACCGACCGACCGACCGACAACTAGATCTTATAGCTCCCATAGGAAGGATCGAAAAAAAAAAACGTTAAAAAAATTCTAGTTTCGTTGTTTTTTCAAATATTACTTTCTACACTTGGGAATATTATTTTCTATATATTTCTAAATTTCGAATTAAATATTTAAAAAATCGGATCACTATATCATATAGCTGCCATAGGAACGGTCGAAAAATTAAGTGAAGAAGACGTTTATGAACACATAAAGTATATATATTCTTTATCAGCATTAATAGCCGAGTCCATCTAGCCATGTCCGTCTGTCCGTCTGTCCTTCTGTCCGTCTGTCCGTCTGTCCGTCTGTCCGTTTCTATGCGAACTAGTCTCTCAGTTTTAAAGCTATCGCGATGAAACTTTCCCAAACATTTTCTTTCTATTGCAGGTAGTACATATGTCGGAACGAGCCGGATCGGACCACTATATCTTATGGCTCCCATAGGAATTATCAAAAAAATAATAGAAAAATCATTGTAACTTTGTAGAAAGTAGGCGTTTTGATTTTTGACAATGTAAAAACAACATTTTAAGTAGGCATATCTGCAAGGGTATATAAACTTCGGCTGGCCGAAATGAAAAATGTGAATTTGAAAATGTTGAATTTTAGTTATATGCTCATGTTTTTAGCTGTAACTTCGATGTTATAAGTTGAAAAGCTGCAAATAAGGTTTTATATTAAAGATAATTAATAACAAAAACAAAAAAACTTTGGTTTATATTTTTAAATTTTTATACCCGTTATTCGTAGAGTAAAAGGGTATATTGTATTCGTGCAAAAGTATGTAACAGCTAAAAGGAAGCTTTTCCGACCCTATAAAATATGTATTTTCTTGATCATGGTCACTAGCCGAGTCGATATAGCCATGTCCGTCTGTCTGCCTGTCCGTCTGTCCGTCTGTCTGTCTGTCCGCCCGTATGAACGCTGAGATCTCGGAAACTATAAAAGCTAGAAGATTGACATTTTGCATGCAGATTCTAGAAGTTCCTACGCAGCGCAAGTTTTTTTCAAAAAGGTGCCACGCCCCCTCTAACGCCCACAATCGCTTATATACGATTTTAAAAATTTCAATATTTAGGAAAAAGTAGAAATGCAGTTTTATTGTGTTTATCAATAACTACCGAAATGTAAGAGAATTTTTTTAAATCGGACCATTCGTTAAAAAGTTACGGCGGATCAAAGTTTTTATCTCCATCTTCTTAGCACTCCCTTTAGCTGAGTAACGGGTATCTGATAGTCGGGGCACCCGACTATAGCGTTCTCTCTTGTTTTTTATTAAATGGTAACAATTCAAACTTCATGTGTACATCGTCTAGTGGAGACAGTGACTCAAAAATGTCTTCTTAAGCACTTATCATTCGTTTTACCGTATGATCAATAAGGAATTGTAAACTTATTTCAGAATGGGATTCTCTTACTTTTATACCAGTAGGATAGCATAACATTTTTGACTCCTAAACGGGATCATAGAGATGGGAGGTCACTTGTACTTGAGGTGGAAGCAATGACATCAATGCGACAGACCTCGCCATTTAATGTGACCTGAAGGCCACTTGCATTATGAACAAAAAACCTGGCTTTATCTCTCCTAGATTTCTCAAATCGATTTCAAAAGACAGTGTAATTTCAATTTGGAGTGATTAATGCAGGGATCGTAAATAACAGTTATTTGTGATTTTTATTTTAAACGTCAAAAATAACGTTCTTTTTACTCTTGTAAAGTATATGCATTTCAACAAATCTGGAAAGCAAATTAACTGTTATTTGTTCATGTCTATAAAGCGCATAAAAACCAGTTAAATTCCCTGCAGGAAACGGAATCAGTTTTGGACTATTAAAATACTAGTTGGGTCAAGAAGGTTAACTAGTTCAAGTTATGTCCATTTCCTTGTAACGAAGTGGTCCATTTTTCATATGCTTGTCGTCGGAAACAACTAGTCCATTTGCTACTAGTTTTGCACTAGTTACTGTTAACCAATTTACGTTACAGCTGTTAAACTACACTGAAAACAAGAAAGGAAGCTAGCTTCGGCCAGCCGAAGCTTATATACCCTTGCAGATCATTCTATTAATTTACAAATCGCAAAAATGTTAAATTTCTTATTATTTCACATTAATTTTTCGATCGTTTCTATCACAGCTATATGATATAGTAGTTCGATCTTTTAAAAATTAAAATCGAAATTCGGAAATATTTCAAAATAGTCATATCCCAGAGTAGAAGGAACTGTAATAAAAACCAACAAAGATATAATTTTTTTCCCATTAATTTCCATTTAATTTTTCGACCGTTCCTATGGCAGCTATATGATATAGTGATCCGATTTAAAAAACAAAAAAACCGAAATTCAGAAATATATAAAAAAAAATGTTCCCAAGAGTAGAAGGTAAAATTTTAAAAAACACCGGAGCTAGAATTTTTTTACGTTTTTTTTTTTGATCCTTCCTATGGGAGCTATAAGATATAGTTGTGTGATCCGTTTGGTTCCGACATATATACTACCTGCAATAGAAATACGACTTTTACGAAAGTTTCATCCCGATAGCTTTAAAACTGAGAGACTAGTTTGCGTAGAAACGGACGGACAGACGGACGGACAGACGGACAGACGGACATGGCTAGATCGACTCGTCTAGTGATGCTGATCAAGAATATATATACTTTATGGGGTCGGAAACGTCTCCTTCACTGCGTTGCAAACTTCTGACTGAAATCATAATACCCTCTGCAAGGGTATAAAAATATTTTCACGAAAAAACTAAAAATTAATCTCGAAACCAACAAGTGATTGAATTTCACTAGTACTTGACGATGCCTAACTTGA